GTGAACAGAAAAAGAAAGCCATAGGAAGAATATTATTATAATATAACACTACGAAATAATCATTAAATATTTTAAAAAATTTTTTTTTTTTTAAAAATGAAGATTCCCCGACGGGGAATCGAACCTTTGTCTGCTGGGTGACGGTCGGAGATACTGACCACTACACTACCGAGTAGATGTGTATGAACGAACTTTGTATTTTATATTCATTATTTAATTTATCACATTCTGCGAATAATGTCGAGCGTTATCGGCAGACCGAAATTTGTGAATAACGGCGAGCGTTATCCGCACAGCTCTGTGAATAATCACTTCGATGCCAAAATCTTAAGAGTAAGAGTTAACAGGTCTGATGCAATAATCCACCCCCCCCACCCCACATGTGAATTATGTGCCAGCCTCCTAGCACGCCTAAATTAGGAAAAGTAAATTACTGTAAAGGGTAAAGTAAAAGTTAAAAGTAAAGCAACATTGAACAATATAAAAACATATGGTAAGGTAAAATTAAGGCCAAGGCTTAAACTTAAACTTAAGGCAATGAAATTTAAGCGCGATTAATTATTTCTAGTGATATAAAATTAAAACTTCCTCTTCACCTGATGGAACTAAAGGCCTAAAATGGCGTCTTTTTGTTCATGTACAATAACCCTTTAACAAAATTGAATAAGATAAAAAAAAAAGTAGCCTACAGTTCACGAATCTTTTGTCATTTACGACGCCATTGTTGGGGGAAAAAAAACAACATGGAGAACTCTTCTTTCTTCAAAGATACGTTATAAAAGTTGCCCAATTGGATATATTTAGATTTAAATATTTTTTTTTTTATTTTATAGATCAATCTACTTTGTCTAATATTTCTTTCTAGCCCACTGGATCCATGCACATCAATGTAAAGGTGGTACTCGCAAGGGACCTCAATATCAGGGGGCGCATTCGCCCAGGGCGCTGCTTTTCCTTTGCACGGTTGTGCATCCATTACGGACGTAACGCGGCTAGAATTTTGAGGGTGGGGGTTATGTGGGAAATATTTGTTAAAACTTTAAATAAAATTGTCAATTTCCTTTCTTAAAATTTGTGACAGTTTCGATTTCTTTCTCAATAAATAGCTGGTGATTTACTAAGACTAAGAGGCAAAAAGCGGGAAAGTAATGAAATATATGTCAGTAGCGAAATAAACACCATTGCCATTGCAAATAAATGACCCACAAAGCAATTTGGTTCCATCCAGATACATAAAATCACTAACACTGCCTCTCATTTTACTCACCACAAACCAGAGTCAACTTAGGTGGCATCTAAATAATTAAGTGCCATCTATCAAACTAGAGCTGACCAACCACAGACCATTTAAATAGCTTATTTGCCTACTATGACTCATAATTGTCGAGAAAAAGTCAATCCACTTGCATAGGAAGGGGGCTGTGGAGGGGGTGGTCCACACAGGTGCCACTTTTAAAAAAAATTATATTTAGGGGCGGCATTTTCGGCGAGCTGAAGAGTTTTTTTTTTTGTGGTTTTTTTTGTTTTTTTAAACTTAGTGGTAGAGGGTGGCACAACTTTCTAGTTAACATATCGCAACATAACCCCTGGTCCGCTCGAAACGTTTCCCAGATCTGTTCATTATGAGGACACGTTACACATGATCCAACGCTTGGACATTGGTCGCTCTCTCAGTCTCTGTTGTTGGTGGAATTCTATTAAGTAGCCGAGTCTCTCACTTCGCACCTTTTTTTTGCCCATGTGCCGTTTCCCTAGTCTGGCCTGCTGATTACCAAAGTCACTCTCTGATACACTGAAGTAATACGTCGGCATAGCTAGAGCGACGTGGCCTCCACGGCCTTGCCATGTTTCTGTTTAGTAAGGCTGTGGGCAGCAACGCAGTCGCCGCGGCTTACCCGTGTATAGGTTTACTTTAAGCAGATTTCTGATCGTTAAATGCTGCATAAACTTTATGGTTTGTGTCCGCACAAATGAACGCAGGACAAGTAAACCCACAACTCACCATAACACATCCAAAGAAAGGACTAGTGAACCAACGGACAAGTTAACACGCAGAAAAGTGAATACATGTATATAGAACATAGACAGCTGAACCCAACGACTGGGTTTGAAAAGGCCTTGCTGAGATAATCGTTATTTTTGACTTGTTCTTGTAAATTTATTTTCACTGCTAATTCGCAATGATTGGTTCCGAAAGATTTCAGCTACTTTTATAAATATGTAAATGTTTTTAATGTGCTGAAAATTATTTTACAAATTGTGTAAATAACCATTTTTTATTATATTTCTTGGGCAGATTTTTGTTTCCTAAACTGAGTCTATTGATTTCTTATTAAAAAACATTAACATGTTCTACAATATTGTTTAACATTTGTAAAAATATCTAGAAAATTCTTACTTTTATGATAATTTCACATTGATATTTTTAAATTTCATTTTATTTGACTCCTATATTTTTAATATTGCTTAATTGAATTTTTTTCTCTCTTTAAAATGGTCCACTTAGGATTTTCCATTTATCTCTGACGTCAAATGTATTATGAACTATTATGAGGAAAAGTATTATTTTCATATGCTTCAAAATTTGCAAGGTTTCTTTTTATTATATTCTCTACATAATGATTGATGTTTTTTTTATTACATGTCTCATAAACAAAATTCAGAAGTTTTTATGATCTTATTATTTTTATTAGGCTCGAGGCTAGTGGGTTGTTGGGAAACTGCATTCATTTATATTCTATCCATTATATCTATGTACTTAAATTGTTTTTTTTTTTTAAATTAACGGGTGGAATGTGTTCATGATGTATGCATCCAATGTTGTTCAATTAACTTTAATTTTTTTAATAAGCATTTGTCAGTGTCTTTTTCAGCTTTTATGGATATAGCATTTTCATTTTTTTCTGACGTCAATTGATCAATCAGGAGGAATAGTTTTGGAATAATTTTTTTTCTATCTTTTCTGTCTTAGTTTTCTAATTGTTTTTTAATTCATGACTGATATATGTACATGGTGTATGCATCCTATATTGTTCATGCAGCCCTCTAATTTAAAAAAACCCACAAATTTATACTTTTTTTCATTTTTCTCAATTTTGCATTTTCCGGATTTTTAGGAATGCCAAATGAATTGGGAGGAAAAGTATTGTAGCTACAGCCTTCAAACATTGCATGCTTCTTTTCATTGATATTCTTTACAAAATTCAAGAGGCTTTTTTTTTTATATACCGGGTATATCCAACTAGAAAAGTTTTATAACATTTTTACATTTGCTACTCCTGAAGAGTTCTAGAAAATTTATGTGACCCCCACATACATGCCATTTGTAACACTTCCAATAACTGCTGTGTAATAAGCTTCTTTAAACTTTAGGTCAATGTTATTGTTAATGTGTATGCCAAGTTTCATTTAAAATACAGAATTTGTCTTTATTCATTTTGCGTAAAAGTCAAAATTGGTATAAAATGTTAAATTTTTTACAATAAATGTCACAACAAATTTTAAAAAAATAAAATTTAGTGGAGTTTTGTCTTTCTGTTTGTGCATGGTTTGTATGTACTATATTTTTTTCAGTGGCTCTATTTATTTAGGGTTATCAGCATTTTATTTTCAATGTGGCATGACTTAGTTGCCTTGAAACAAAACTCCCTTCACAGATCACATACATTTGCTCCCACTCAATCATTACATCTTTACTTAAATGAAGAAATGATACGAACAATAGTTAACTATACGGGTACCAACAAGGAATGTGAGAAAGTAAAAGGAGACAAATGGCAAAGGAATGATGTGACCTAATTGAATGAGTTTATTGGCTGCCTACTCCTTACGGGCCCCTAATTTATTTTATGGATTACTTGAGTACACAACTCAAATAACAAACAACCAAACAAAAATGTTCTCAAGTCAGTTAAGGTTTTTTTTTCTATTAAATTTTAAATTATGTACCAGTGTGTTAGACCCAGTAGACAGCTATGGTAAAAAAAAAAAAGACGAGTCCTCCAAAAATAAGTCTCTTTCTCATGCTTTATACAATGGCATCCTTTAACTTTAAGATGTTAATTGCAACTGCCTTGTGAATTAGGTCAAGTCATGTCAAATGAGAAAAGTTGTTGAAAGGAGATTCGAGATATCAGGAAAAACAGTCAGTGGCCGCATGTATGACTCCCAGTGCCAAGGAAAAAGTTTAAAATTGGTGGTTTTTTTTAGACTAAGCCAAGCGCTCTAGAGGAATAGTTGAAATTAATTCATTATTTAGAATACCTAATTAATTCATAAAGTACTGTGTGATTAAATCTTTTAAATTAAACAATACACATAAATAATCTTAAATAAAGGATTTAATTTTAATAATAAATTGATATTATTACTTTTCTAAAATTCAAATGAAAACAAAAAATGTATCTAAATCATCTTCATTACTAGATTTAAAAAAAAAAAAAATGATCTACGAAAATGGCTTAAACTAAAAAAGAAAAAAAAAATCTACCCGTCCTAAGAGAAATTAACAAAGCAAAAATTAAAAAAAACCAATAAAAAGAATAAAACTATGAATCTATGAATTAACAAGGAGAAAAAAAAAATAAAAAAAAATGATTCTCATACTATTATTGTTATCGCACCCGGCTCCAAAGCCATTTAATCTGTATGGAGCCACTCCGGGTGCGAATAGTCATTGGCGGTTATAGGTACTCGGGTACCTATAGATGCAGTTTTAAAAAATAGTGAATTAACTTTTAAATTTATTTAAAGTAATAAACATTTAAAATGCATTGCAGCTTGCTACTTTTACTTACTCCTTGTGTAAACCTAAGGGGTTGGGTTTAAGACTGAGTATAAAAACCCGCAGTTTCCCAATAAATATCATACTTTTCAATTTGAAAATACACGAAACACCGAAATTGGCCGAAGAGTGCCAAGAATTTCTTTTAATGAACCCTCCCTTCAAAAAAACATTTATAGATTTTGTACTGCTTAGTCCATAGGCATGTCAATGGATATTTGTTGATTTTTAGGGCCTTCCCTAACATTACTAACAATGACTTGTACGCAATTTTAAGGACAGTTTTTTATCAGTATTTGAAATGTCTACTGAAGATATAAGAGCCGTGTTGCTTAATATATTTAAGCATAAAGATTTCAAGTCCTCAACTCAGAAAGCTGCAGTAAAATCTGTTATTAAAGGCAGGTATTATGCTTCTATATAATTTATATAAATAAGACATTATAAGTAAATGTAAATTATCATGTAATTATAATTATGGTACAAATAGTCTATAGACTATAGATAGACCAAAGCCATAGACATAAATGATGATAAGTACATCATAGTAACAAACACAAAGTGTTACAAACAAGGCACAAACAAAGGCAGGTATTATGCTTCTATATAATATAATTTATATAATTATATAAGACATTATAAGTAAATGTAAATTATCATGTAATTATAATTATGGTACAAATAGTCTATAGACTATAGATAGACCAAAGCCATAGACATAAATGATGATAAGTACATCATAGTAACAAACACAAAGTGTTACAAACAAGGCACAAACTTCACATTGCCTTCACATTTTTCGATTCAACTAAATAATAAAAATTATACCGGTAAATTTTAGGTTTAGGAATTGAGTATGATCATTATGGGCATGGGTTTTGCCAAGAGTTGTCTCACGCCTAAGATTAAGGCTTAGCCTAAACGCAGTGACGTCACTCTCACTTTAAGGAATCCCAACAATGGATTGCTGTTCAATAACTATAACTCACACTGAGCATTGCTCGCGTCATAAACTAAATTTGATGATCTGTTTTAGTTGATAAGGTTACATTACAATGGTTAGGCCTACATACTTAAATGAAATTTCGCATCAATTAAAAAAAAATTAATCTTACACATTTCAAAGAAATGAAAAAAGAAACACATCCTTGCTGATCACTGATACCTAAGAATAGAAAATTAGTAAAACAGAGTAAAACAGACCCCTCCCCCAACACCCCTCCCGCACATTAAATACCACAATAAGACACAAAGAAATATTCTGGGAGGGGAGATCCCTCCCCATAACCCATCACCGCCAATTTCAAAAAATATAAAATAAGAAAGTAAAAACTTGCATTAAGTGAACACAAACAATAAGTATTGAAATGTTTTGAATGTGATGCTGTAGATGGAAGTTGACCTGGGGGAGCCTCCTTGACCTATATGCCATAGAACACCAAACTTACCCAAAATCAGCCATTAGGCCTTAGTCTTTCTCTTACATTAGATTAGGCCTAAATTTAAGTTGGTTTTTATCTACTTCTGCTAAATTAAATTAAGCCTACTTACTTTATTAAATGCCTAAATAAATAAGTTAAGGCTAGCACTTCCTCAGTAACTTAACCAAATATAATAAAATATGACAAATTCAAAGGGCTAAAATGAAGTTAGTGGCAGGGCTGGCGATGTCTTCCACAGAATGTGGGTCATATAGTTTCCTCAGGGTCAACTACTGGACATAGTTCTGTTTGTCAAATCCACAAGAATAAGTTTCACTTTTTATTTCTTTTAAATCTTTAAGTTGAATTAATTTTAATAAAAAACTGAAAAACCAAAGGGAACATTTCATTTCAATCTATTTCATATTAACTTAATCGATTGTCAGATTATATTTTTTTGATCCAAATAATGCCCAGTGAAGAAAGGGAAAGTTATCATTCTCATCAATGAGGTTTAAATATGGGGTCCAGTTTTGGGAATCCCCAAAGTGACATCAGGGCTTTTAGGGTGAGACAACTCTTGGCAAAACCCATGCTGTTAACTGCACATTTACCTTCAAAGTGACTATCGCTAGCTAGTTAAGGGCAGTACTAGTAGTAAGTTGTAAGTACATTTAAGTAACTAGTGGTGGGCTGATAGCGGTTGGGGCACTAAAGAGTTGATTTGTACTTTGATTTTATTCTTTTGTCTTATTTTATTTTATTTTGAGGTTGCTGTTTTTTTTGCATGTCACAACTATTGCATAATTCAATCTTTGGTTCTTTATTAAAGTTAAGGTTTATTAAGACCTACGGTGCATATAAGCCTAGATTAGAAGTAGTCACTGAACATTATGACTTAATAAATATTTAATTAAAGCATTTTTGTTATTGTCATTTTAAATAATTTGATTCAATAAAAAAAAAAAATCTATCCCAGTGTCAATCAACCAAACCATATCTCTTTACCAACAATAGATGTTTAACAGATAACAATATTTCCCCAGGGAAAAATGATGTTTATGTTTCGATGCCCACTGGTGCTGGGAAATCTTTATGCTATCAGCTTCCTGCTGTTTTAGCTGAAGGGGTCACCATAGTAGTCTCTCCTTTGATTGCGCTAATGCAAGATCAGCTGGATCATTTGCGTGATTTGGGCATCAGAGCAGAAACGATCAACTCTAAACTCTCAACAACGGAACGGAAACAGATCACATCAGAGCTCCTTGCCAAAAATCCTAAAATCAAACTTCTTTACATCACACCAGAACAGGCAGCAACAGAAGCATTTCAAAATCTGATAGATAAACTGTTCTCCTGTGGGAAGCTTTCCTATTTTGTGGTTGATGAGGCTCACTGTGTTTCCCAGTGGGGTCATGATTTCCGGCCAGATTACCTTAAATTGGGTGAATTCCGCCAGAGAATTCCAGGGATACCTTGTGTAGCCCTCACAGCTACAGCAACCAGTCAAATTGTAGCAGATATCATCCATCAGCTGAAGCTGAAAGAACCTGTTTTACGATTCAAGACTAGCAGTTTCCGGAGTAATCTTTATTATGAAGTATGCATGAAGGATTTTCTTCCTGACCCTTATGCAGATTTGGTCAAGTTTGCTACAAAATGTCTGGGTGGCCCATTGGAAAACCATGAGACATGGGTCAGTATTAACAATTTTAAGACATACTGCATTAGCCAGATAATGATAGTTTTCTGGAGCTATGATGCCATGTGTTAGGAAGCAAGGGAACATCACATGTATTTATATTTTTAAAAAGTTGGGCATTGCATTTGCAATAACTAGTGTTATAGTGTTCATGTCAATGTAAAAAACTTCAAAGTTCCCTTCCACTTGCTTCTAAAAACAAAAACGCAAGTTTAAAATCAACAAATTAAAATACATGTAGAGAGTAGAGATAAAATTTCAACTTGATCTTGGATTTATTTTTAGTTACCAAAAGCAGAGAAAACAATAGTGGTAATTGCAATCAATGTATCTGAAGTCAGTATTTATTTCTGTTAGCAGATCTTGTCTTGATTGTTTACTATAATATGTATCTATTAAAATTAATTTTTAAAATGTTTTTTTGCTACTTAAAGAAGGATAAAGGTTGTGGAATTGTATATTGTCGCACACGTGAGGGCTGTGAAGAGATAGCTAGCAAGCTGAGCAGGAAGGGACTCTTGACAAAAGCCTATCATGCTGGTTTAAATGGCAGACTGAGGGAGGAGACACAGACTGACTGGATGGAGGGAAGGGTGCCCATCATAGCAGCTACTATCAGTTTTGGTATGGGAGTAGACAAAGCAAATGTTAGGTAATAAAAATTATTTGACATACTGTATTGTTCCGAGAGAAGGCAGCACTTTTTTCAACTAATGTAAGAGTTTATAAATTTAGGTGCAGCCTACTATCAGGATGTACTGGTATATCTAAGCAATGGTAAGGTTAAGGCTAAGAATAATTAGTGACCTAATCTCTGAACAATACAGTATTTTATTATTTTTAAAAAAAACACAACATTAAAATAGCTGAAACTCTCCTGCAGCAAGTTGTCCCCTTGGTTCTCAGGCTTCCCATTATTACCATTTAACTCAGTTGATTTCAGTGTCAAATCCTCATTCGCAAATTATACATTTTTCTGGTACCTGCTCATCATTTCCCCTCTCAGTCCTAGTCATTTGTAACACTTAAAAATTAATTTTTCATTAAGAATGCAAGTATTAAATATTTTTGGAATGTCATTGGTGTTGAAAAAATATTTATTTAATTGATTTCCAACGCAAAACAATTTATGCATGTATTCATGTTTGTGAAGTTCAATGCAGCCTATAAATTTAATTTTTTGGTAATTTTTTTATTCTGTAAAGATTTGTAGCTCATTGGACAATGCCAAAATCCATGGCTGGTTACTACCAAGAATCTGGAAGAGCAGGAAGAGATGGACTACCTTCGTACTGTAGGTTGTATTACTCACAGCGAGAGAAGGATACTGTAGCTTTTCTCATTAATACAGAAAACAACAGACCCAAGGTGGGCTTTGACTTCTTATAGTAATCACAGGTTGTCTGTCTGTCCCATCTGACATCAAACTTCAATGTTATCTTCTTGTAATAATCACAGGGGTCTTCCTCTCCAATCTGATATCTAACTTCAATGTTATTTTACAAATAACATAACAGGGTGTCTTTCTGTCCAATCTGATATCAAACTTCAATGTTTTCTTCTTGTAATAATCACAGCGTGTTGTCCTCTCTAATCTGACATCTAACTTCAATGTTATTTTACAAATCACATGAAGATGTCATCCACATTTATTATTTATAAGAATATCTCACTAAATTTTTTTTTTACTGTAAAATTTGATTTGTTTGTTTTTAAACTTGCATTTATTTAGTCTTTTATTCCGTTACTATTTAATATAATTAATTCATTTTAAAAGTTGTTAAAAATAATTTTAAAATTGTAAAGATAGAAATTAAATTGTGAGGAACTTTTGATATTTTGTACTTGGCAAAATGTTATTTTTCCCATTATGCTGCATTCAACACAGTAGTGTTCACAAAGCATACCAGTAACATTTATTCATCTTTAAATTGAAATATCAAAGAAAAACTTAGATGGGGCAAAACATCGTGCTAAGGCTGCAGAAGACAGTTTTGGAGCCTTGCTAAAGTTTTGTGAGACTGCAAAGTGAGTTTTCTAAATAGATTATATACCTTTACCAAAGCTCTGATTTTTTTTCTTCTCTCTTATTCATACTTTTGAAATGCTTTTTATACATTGTATGTTATTTTTATAGTTTATGTTTATTTATGACTTAAAAAATGTGTTTAAAACAATTTTTTTCCATTTAAAAGTATTTTATGTTTATTTGTTGATGGCTATCTTTAATTTTTGCATTTGCGTCTTATTAAAAAGGACAGGAATAAAATAATGTTCTGCTTCTTGTAGATGTCGCCACTGGTCAATAGCTGACTACTTTGGTGATGACAAGCCAGACTGTGACAGAGCCTGTGATGTGTGTTGTGATCCAAAAAGGGTTGAAATGGATTTGCTAAATATGCAGAAAGGCTTGTTTAACACCAAGATGAGATCAGGACTTGGGGGTGCAATGATTATGGTTAAAGATGAAGACTATGCTGACATGTATGAAGGGGGACGGCTGGGTGCCAAGAGGTAAAAGGGAGTTGCTTCCTCTGCCAGTTAAGTTAAAATCTATTATAATAATTCCAGCGTGGACCTTGTCTGCCCCTCAGGGATGTAACCAATGAAAATCAGATGAAACCCCATGATTATTTCGTCCCTTTGAAAAGATAACTGGGGTTTTTTCCTCGAATTATTTCACCACCAATTGCAGCCCCATCTGAAGTATTGTCTAAGTCATGATTTGGCTATAAAGCATTTAAAAAAAGGGGATGATGACATCTAAAAGACATGATAAATGCTGGATATATGGAGCCCCATCTGGATTTATTATTATAGATTATGCTCCTCTTCCCTTATTTTACATCCGTAATGTGGTCGCGTTGTCCCAGCTAGTCAAATATAAAACTCATCCGTGACTGTTAACTTTGAGGCGAAAAGATATCTATATTTTTTAAAGACAATTGAACCTTTTTTTCATGAGATTTTAGTTATTTCATAATTTACAAATTTAACATTATTCTTGTTCACAAATATTCATTTCACAGTACTTTCCCCACAAATAACTTAATTTCTTTTGTTTAAAACAAATAATAAATCCATAATTCAATTTGTCCAGAGCCACTAATGATTATGGTGGAGGAGATGGGAGTGATGATGAGAGTGAGTACCACAGAGAGAGAAGAGAGGCAGACAAAGCAAAGAGGGAGAGAACTTCAATTATAGCTAAAGAGTTTGAAAAGAGAAAAGTGGTAGGTGTGGATTTATTTTATGTCTTATACCTAGTAGAGAACGTTGTAAACAAAAGTGACTTCGAGACACCAGAACACAAGTAGCCTTTATTCTCTACAGATGAAGGGGCTAATTAATATATTAGACCCACAAAAAAAATTTGAAGACATTTACCTGTCTTTTTTAATTATGCTATATTAAACCCCCACCCCCATTCGTTTATAATCCCACTGTAAAACATAAAATATAGAAATATGAAGTTTAGGAACTTCTTGCCTGATGACATATGGTTAAGTTTATCCCCAAAGTTTCTATAACTTATTTTATAGAATTAATTACTGCAAAATACCTGGTGTGCATATTTCATTGACAGGCCAATGACACAAGTGATAAAAAAGATGTTTTTGAACCCCCGTCTCCATTTTGTCCACTGAGAGATGCCAGCAGTCAGAGGGTGTCCAAGTTAACAGTGAAGGTTTGTCAGAACATTCTCCAGTTTATTTTGTTTTCATTCTAGTCACATGGGTTTGTGACCCTGGGGGCATGACACGTAAATCTGTTTTCATACCAGTCACATGGGTTATGGTCCTGGGGGCATCACACATAAACTGTTTTCATACCAGTCACATGGGTTATGGTCCTGGGGGCATCACACATAAACTGTTTTCATGCCAGTCACATGGGTTTATGGCTCCGCTGGGTTACGCTTAAAACTGTGGTAAACAGAGCAAACATATTTTTTAAAAAGCAAGCCTTAGCCTTTAAAATGATTTCATTATGGATGTTGGTTCAGGACACATAGTGCACATAAGGTCTTCAGCTTAGGACACATAATCAAATAAAGTAATATCGCTCAAACAAAAATTACCTTCGCTTGAAGAATTATTTTAAGCAATATGCATTTGTAAAACTAAAAAAAAAAATTTTTTTAGCTGATACATCCCAACACTCTTCATCACATATACCTAAGATCTGGGTGAATTCTATCCCTCAAAGTAATGACCAAAAGATAACAAAATTCATTTGTTCCCCTATCTATAAGAAATTACCAGTGGAAAAAAATTTCAAAAATCACTTTTAAAGTCAATGTTGTTACCAACTGGGCACATGACAGTTGATTTTTGCTCTTGAGAAATATTTTTAGATTTCTTGTGTTAAATTTTTCTAGTTTAAAAATGGTATCATTGTAAGAATATATAAGTAAGCAACGTAAGTGCTAAAAATGAATGTTTACAATGTAATGAAATCTCCATTTATTTGGATCAATAAATGAATCATATCATGTATCATATCATAAATTCAAATAAATCACATACATTCAGTGTTCAGCTTAGGACTCACAGATCACATACATTCAGTGTTCAGCTTAGGGGCCATGTCAGCCTCTAGTACAAGGCTTTTCATACTGAAGGATGCCATGCTCATTTAACTCCCGTGAAATAAACAAAGAACGAAGCTCAAATGTTTTTTTTTACTTGCTACAAACTGGCACCAACCAGACTTAGTTGAAACATAGCTTCAGTTTTGTGGTTGTTACCCAGCATTAGAGTTTAAAGATTCAACAACAAATTTTTTTTTAAGGGGTTGGGGCGGGGAGATGGTTTTTGATGATTTGCTTTAATTCATATTTATCCACAAATGTTTATCAATCCATGGATGATATCAAAATAATTTAACATCCTTAGAGATGAAATGAAGTAACCTATGATAAAACCTTCTTCTTTGATGCAAAATGGAGCTTATGTTACGCTTTAAAACTATTTGTTTCTTTCAGACCAGGGAACATTGCTTTGAGATGATTGAGAGAGCACTTTACGAGAACTTTACAGCAGTGTTTGCTGAAGATGAAAACAGGATACGAGGCAGGGACTATGAACCACGTACCAATGCGCTTGACATGGAATATCAAGTTTTCTTGAGTAACAAACTTGCCCCTGTGTATAAGTCATCCATCATGAAACTTGTCTCAGAAATTCGTAAATTGACCCAGTCTAATAATGTCCATTCATGCTTCCAAAATGTGAAGGGTGCGTCCATTTCTGGAGGGGGGGACAGCAGCGAAGAGTCAAGCGGTAGACCAGGCTCAGGTCCATCGAGATCAGAGTGTAAGAACTGGGCCAACTCAGGACCAGACAGCTCCGATGACGACATGTTTTCTAGCAAAACAGAAAGTAGAACTGATAGTATCTTTGTCAGGGCAAGTCAGCTCTTTTCAAGCCATAAGGATGATAGCCATGGAGCCCATCAGGGGGGCCACTCTGTTTCATCGGGGAACGGCTTCCAAACAGCAGCCTCGGTGTTGCTTGGCCAGGGTAATACATGGAATTCTCCGACAGCAACATCTCAGTCTGGCAGCTCAACAAAACCACTGAACATTTTCAACGAATTCGCACCTTTAAAAGACTTGGGCTCTGGTGAGAAGAAAATTGAATACAGTGGTAAGGCTATCAGGGAAAACATTTTCTCAATTTTGTTTGGCGGAGAGAAGTCGACTGAAGATGGTAAAAGTTCAAACAAAACTTCAAATAATATGACGCAGTCAGAGCTCTCTGCCAACAAGGCCAGCACTTCCAGTAACCAGGCTTTTACATCTAGCACTCAGGGAGGTCAGAATCCATCTAAATCACTGGTTATAGACATGGGAAACAACAACAACCAAGAAAGCTGTGATGGCAGTCTTGCTGAAAGCTCAAGTGTCAGTGACAGTGCCAAACAAAAACCAAAGATAACTTATTTTTTTGAACGGCAAGACTTGCTATCGAATGAAAACCCCCCAGAACCTGTCCCGGGCCACAGGAAGGAAGATGCCAAACCCACCAAGCCTGTGGCAAAACCTGACCCAAAGCAGGTCATCAGCAGAGCCACAAGTTCCAAGAAACATATGCACTCCAAACATTCCACGAAAAGTCTAAACAGTGACAGAGGGGCAGCTAAGAAACGGAAAGTTTCAGAGGAGGTAAAAATTCTCTGATGTCTCATGTACCTAAAAATGTTTTCAAATGATTGAATTACAAAAGGTTTTCCTTCCATCCTCATGTATCCTAAAATGTTTTCAAATGATTAAATCACAAAAGGTTTTCCTTCCATCCTCATGTATCCTAAAATGTTTTCAAATGATTAAATCACAAAAGGTTTTCCTTCCATCCTCATGTATCCTAAAATGTTTTCAAATGATTAAATCACAAAAGGTTTTCCTTCCATCCTCATGTATCCTAAAATGTTTTCAAATGATTGAATCACAAAAGGTTTTCCTTCCATCCTCATGTATCCTAAAATGTTTTCAAATGATTAAATCACAAAAGGTTTTCCTTCCATCCTCATGTATCCTAAAATGTTTTCAAATGATTGAATTACAAAAGGTTTTCTTTCCATCCTCATGTATCCTAAAATGTTTTCAAATGATTGAATTAGAAAAGGTTTCCCTTCCGTTGTCATTATATAAATCTTGGTTGTATATGTCAATGGCCAGACTTGTGAATGGGATATAACAAAAGATGGAATTGATTTACATGGAGCTGGGGTATTATTATTGTAAAATAATGTGATGTAGTCACAAAGGAGTGTTTCTTGAATGATAAATAATAAAGTTTATAAATTAGCCATTTTCTGGATTCATATTAAAAAATTTCTGTTTAAAACAGAGTGTTTCATCTATATTATACTTGTTAAATAAGTTGAGGACAACGAAAATTGTTTTTAGCATGCTCATTACAAAAATTATAGGAAAGATGAGGAAGTGTTTTTTCTTTGTGTTTAATTTAAATCATGGATTAAACTTGTGAGTTGAAAGATTAAAACTCAAGCTATGATGCATGTGAAGTTGTTAAAAAAAAAAGATACACTTGACTCTGTCTATTTCAGCAACTGGCCATGCAACAGACACTGGACAGTTACATCAACCTAAATCCCAGGCCGGGCCAGGACTTGAGTAAACAGAAACATGGCCAGGACTTGAGCAAAAAACCAAGAGTTGAACATGAGATGAGTACAAAAACTAGCCAGGAACATCCAAGGAATAGAAGAAACTCTGGGGAGATTGATGACAAACACAAGGTAAAGATTGTTTCTATAGGGGGGGGGGGGGGCATGGAGGTAAATCTATATTAAAAAAAGAAATCAGAATTTTCAGTACATGAAAACAAGTTTTTCTACTGTTGTTTAACAGTGAATAAGTATTATTGGGTTCTTTTTATATCGTGGGTGCTGTCCAAAATAAGACCTCCATATTGCGTCCTTAACCGACTCCTGCTTGACCTTCTTGCAACTTGCCCGCCTGCATAAGCAAAGTGACATAATAAATCAGGTTTTAAAAAGAAATAAAATATAAAACAAGCGATGTAATTGTTATTTAAATTTAATATAAAAATGAATGAGATGTTAAATTTATGATAAAAATGAATGAGATGTTAAATTTATGATAAAAATGAATGAGATGTTAAATTTATGATAAAAAAATAAGGTTTTAAATATAAAAAACCTTTTAATTATAATATCTGAAGTTGACTGTTGCTGCATTTTCATTTGATCACCATAGCGGGCTAGGTTTATTAAGCATTATTATCTACCAATGTGTATCAGTAACCGTATTGATTTTTATAGGCTGGTTCAGATATATCTTCAACTCTTACATTATCCCTATGATTTTCTACATTAAATTTAATAACTTCTACATGTTAGATTGTTTCATCATCTAAACAACCCTCTAGTCTAGCAAGCTTAACAGCATGCTGCAAATGACCTTGGAAAGTCTTTTTTTGCGCTCTCATAACTTTTTAACCAAAGAAGATAAAAACATTAGCAGTTCTCTTTTTATAAAAAGCTCCACTGGCGAGTAAATTTTAGCTAATGAATGTATGGTAGGTTATTTGCTAGACGGCCCTAAATAGTTTCTTTTGTGACTGTTGGCCTGACTTGCCACCGCCTGCCAAATACACCAGGGAATCAGAGAAGTGACAGCAGGTGCTAAAGATAGTAGAGTGTTAAAAGAGATTGTAAAGTTAAGCTTCATATATTATAATTGATAGTACGCTCCTATATGGCAGTGAAGTGAGGACCCCGCATGCCTGTCACAAGCGGAAACTCAATGGCTTTCACCAAAGATGCCTGCATCACATTTTGAGAATTGGATGGTCGGACAAAGTGCCTAAAACAGAAGTTTGGGAAAGTGCCAAAATGTGCAACATGTTCTCTGCTCTTAGCATGAGTTGTCTTCTCTTATTAGACAATGTGAGAGAATGTCGGACGTCTGTATTACTAGGAATCTACTGTATGTGGAGTTAGCAGAGGGCCCAAGGTTTATTCGACGACTATTGGTGCGGTTTAGGGATGTTATCAAAAGGAACATGACGGAAACCAACTTAGAAATCTGTGATTTGGAGATCATTGCTGATCACCGTCCCATCTGACGAACTGCAGTTTATGAGGGAGTCAAACAGGGGAAAAAAATCCCTTGCAAAAAAAGAGCATTACGAAAGGCCAAAGTGAAGCAGAAGTCAAGGTTCTCCTATGAAAATTGTAGCTGAGTCAGCCATTCCAGGATCAGCCCCTTGAGCTGATAAAGTGTCAATAAGCTGCTTGATCATCTTATGAAGTTTGAAGGATGACATACATAGATTAATTGTTATACCATATCTTACACTGTGAAATTTGTCAGTTTGAAAGTCTCACTGAATTTCTCTTCTGTTTTTTTTAATTCTTGATAGCAAGTTGTTGGTCAAAAGTCCCATGTTTGTATTTGTCCACAGGCTGAGAGATTGCCTCCTGCAGTAAGTCAAAAGTCCCATGTTTGTATTTGTCCACAGGCCCAGAGATTGCCTCCTGCAGTGAGTGAATCTGAGGAGAAGAAGATGAGAGAAAACAAAGAGATGAAACTGATAGCAGACAGTGTGGTCAAGTACCTGACACCCCATTACAAGGCTGGCCGATTTGCTAATAAGGTGGGTCATCATCTTTTTCATTGTTCGGTGTAGCCAGCCAAACATCAACTCCACTTCTAGAGGTCCTTAGAGACAAAACATACACACCATTTGTCAGGTGTAGTGGAACATTAAATGCATGTGGTACATAAAGTTGGTAGGGATCAGAGAGAGTTCTTGTTTTGAAAGATCTACTGTTTGATTCAATATCTTTTTAATATCCATCAATCCATGTAGGGCTTTGGCTTGGCTTACTCCTTCCTTCCGCTCAGACCTAACTGATGCTTTTATTGTTCATGCTTGGATTCCCAGCTGCTGTAGATCTTTTTCCACATCATCCATCCATCTAAGTTTAGGTCTGCCTTTGAGCCTTTTTCCTCTGGGGTTTTGGTGGTGCACCCTCTTCACTCCTCTGTCATTTGGCATTTTTTATAAGTGTCCCGCCCAGCGTAACCTTCTCCTTTTTTTTTCTGTTACTAGTGTGGGATCCTGTAGAGTCTATACAATTCCTGGTTGGTTCGTATTCTCCATCCATATTCATCTTTGTTGGTCCGTAAATTTTCCAGAGAGCTTTTCTCTCCCATCTGATGGTGAAAATGTGATCAGCCATTGATCTGTTAGTCTGAATCCACATTCGTAGTCACCTAGTATTTGATCAGTGTACGGCTGTAGTCTTTGGGAAATTAGTTTTGTCAGTATTTTTTATGTAAATTTAAAATGGAAATTCCCCTGTAGTTTGTGCATTAAAGTTTGGAACATTTCTTGTGTATTGGGTTTATTAATGCTGTTTCCCATTCTGTTGGAATTTTCTTATGTTGCCAAATTTTAATTATAAGTTTATGTGTCTGAATGTGTCATTCTGTTCCTCCATAAATAAGTTCTGCTTTGATGAAGTCTTCTCCAGGGGCTTTGTTTTTTTTTTATAGCATTGGTTACTTCTGTAGTTTCTTTCAAAGTTGGGGAGTTTATTAAAGGGTCTGGTCCTCCATGTTATGGTTGATAAACTTCATCCTGCCCAAAGTCTGCATTTGGTATGCCCTCAAAATATTCAGCCCACCTCTCCAGTACTTGACTATTTTTTTAGTTATTAATTCTCCATAATTGCTCTCACACATTTGAGGCCTGGCTTGGTATCCATTCTTTTCATCTTTTATCTTCATGTACATCCCTCTCTTGATTAGTCTTCTATTTCTTTTAGTTTAACTTTTTCCCATTCCCTTTTTTTCTTCCTGCACATTTTTGTGGCTTTCCTTCTAGCTTCATTGTATATTTGTCTCCTGGTTTCCCTTTGCATCATGTTCATTCTTGCCTTGTTCCATTCTTGGACAGTCTCTTTGCATTCATTATCAAACCAGCCTAAGCTACTGTTAGTTTTCTGGAATCCTACTCATTTTTCTTCTGATCTTTTCATATCATTTTTTATCCTATCCCACTGTTCATTTATGTTGTTTTCCCTGCTTATTTTGGTAATCATATTGTTTCTCTCTTTGATTTCGTCCATTGTGAATTATGCTTATTCTCTGCTTATATTTAAATCCTTTTAATAGCCTATAATTAAATGTTGCCTAGTTATTAATTTTTTTATTGTTATTTAGTCAATGACTGAAAATGAAATCTGGTTCATATTAGGAACTGCTTTTTTTTCATATTGGCGTATGGTTTCTGTCATGACATATGCTGGTCGCTATCATACCATATGCTGGATGCTGCTATAGGAGCTGTTCAAGTCTGTGGCCAAGGCCATCACCCAGCAGGTTTACACCACCACCAAGGGACTGCCCACAACAGGTGAGACAACTCTGCGAGCTCAGGGTGTTTATGTGGTGCAATGTCCATGTCTTCTTTACACCGTTCTCTCCCCTTTTGCAGTTACCCAATCCACTGCTTGAAATAACCCCCACTTCCCCCATACGTATCATTCAATTATAAAAGGGGAAGAGACTGCAATCTGGTTAGGTAGAAGGATGTAACAAAACAAAAATGCCAATGGTTTTGTTGCATCCTTTTTTCAGGTTTTCCAATACTTTGTTTCCCTTATATTTGCTTCATTAAATTAGTCACCTGCTATTCTCAAAATTCTTTTTACATACAAAAAAAAAAAAAAATAATAAAAATAAAAAATTCAATAGACAGTTCCTTGCGGTGTATTTAATTAAATTTAGTTTGTTTAATGACATGACAGTGTCATCATTTAAATGCCATTAGTATCAGTTTAGCAATAAATTACTAAGATGAATAATAATGTTATTTTTTTTATTTATAAGTTTATCTCCATGTTAAAAAAAACCTTTAGTAGAAATGTTGAAAATAAAATAACTGATTCTGATTCCGAATCAACTTTTCATAATTTGGGCATTGATGTTACAAAATACTCAACATTGAAACTGGAATCCAATTTGAGCTATGCCACATTACTGTTATACATACTTAAAACCCTCAGTTTTGGGAGATAAACTGATATTTTTTCATCACTAAATGATAGCGCAAAGACGTGAGCTGAATGAAATAAAAAGATGATGATGTTCTTAACTCTACAGGTAAAGAGGAGGCAAAGCGCCTAGTTCGGGCATACATGGAGGACCACAAACTTATCAATGGCCAGACCGATCTCAAAGGTTGGATGTGACGGCAGTGCCACGGTGACGTGATTCTGTGTTCTGGATGTTTTCGGGGGACCGGGCAATGACTGAACCATGGCAGGATGTCGGATAGTCTGAAATGACTGTTGGTGTTTTTGGGGGGGGGGGGGGGGGGGGGGCGGATCTCATATTTGAATGAGAATAATTTATTGTTGATGTCAAGTTGATGTGGTGGCCATTGTGTCATCTGAAAGATTTCAAGTTTGAATGAGTATTCAGAATGTTTTATATGAGGTAACTAATGTCATGGTTACATAATGTAATCATATGTAGTCCGTAGACCATAAGCCATAGTGGGGTTGTTTGTTTCATGATGTCATGACATCACATTATTGTCTTGTATGACAAGTCATAGCATTACCCAGTGGTGCACACAGAAGTCATAGCATTACGCAGTGGTGCACACAGAAGTCATAGCATAGAAGTCAATCAGACACCACAAAGCAAATAATGCCTATTGTTTTTGTATATCAGTTTAAAAATATTTTGACTTATTTCTTGTAAAAATGTTTGTAGTTGATGACCTACTTTATCTTGGTTGTGAAAGCATAAATATCTGTCATACCATGTAGATAATTGATTGCAATGGCATAAAAATCCGCAATATTATTGGCTGCTTGTGATGTAATATTAACATCTGTCCTGCCATTGGCTGACTAGGGTGCGATATTAACGTCTGTCCTGCCATTGGCTGACTAGGGTGCGATATTAACGTCTGTCCTGCCATTGGCTGACTAGGGTGCGATATTAACGTCTGTCCTGCCATTGGCTGACTAGGGTGTGATAATAAAATCTGTCTTGCCATTGGCTGACTAGGGTGTGATATTAACATCCGTTCTGTCATTGGCTGACTAGGGTGTGATAATAAAATCTGTCTTGCCATTGGGTAACTAGGGTGCGATATTAACGTCTGTCCTGCCATTGGCTGACTAGGGTGTGATGTTAATGTCTGTCCTGCCATTGGCTGACTAGGGTGTTGTCAGAGTATGTAATGCCACGCCCATGTGCAAACCGCCTGTGATCTTATAAATCCATGATTTTAAGTTTTAGAAGAGCCTGTGAATTTATAATTTTTAAATCACCCAGCATGCAGTGGAGTCTCTCACATTAATCCCCTTCCCCACCCCTTACATCATTCCAGTATTATGTCATTAAATATTTATGTAAATATTTTTTCCCAATGCAGAGTTTATTGAATAAAATTGTTAAATCCTCATATAATATGAAAAACATTTGGTGCTTAGGTGATAAGAAAACCAATCTCTTTAAGTTTAATTAATTTCCTCCACCACCACCCACCCCATTTTTTTTCCTTCTTCTTTTTTTGACATCAGGGGTTTTCAAAAGGTGAGGTGTGACCACAAAGATTTATTATCTAATTACTAATCTATTAAATTTTTTTTTTGTCAATAAAAATGTTTGAATTGTAACATATAAATATAATCATGTTTGTTTGAGAATCACTAATCTATTATTGTAATATGTGTATTTACAAAACTTGAGTAACTCACAAAATTTTACCTCTTCTTTGTCTGGAGTTAGGCTTATTATCATCCTTTATGTTAATTAACCCGGCCAGATTTTCTGTAAGCATTTAAAATTCCTTTTATGTCTAGGAACTTTGATAGTAATTAATGTATCTATTCAAATTGGCACATTCTGGTCCATGCTGTTAACAACGACTTGAGGGGCTTTATGGATTCATCCTGGAATTTCACCTTGAATAAAGATTATATAAATGAATTCATGATTCTGAAATAATCTTGGCTGGTCTGCTACTAATTTTCTTTACACACACAGTCATGGAGGCAGACCCATTACAAAGACAGCTGTACACCAAGGGCTTGCTGGTCTGGTTACAAGGTAGCTGTACACTAAGGACCTGCTGGTCTGATTACAAGGCAGCTGTACACCAAGGGCTTGGTGGTCTGATTACAAGGCAGCTGTACACCAAGGGCTTGGTGGTCTGGTTACAAGGTAGCTGTACACCAAGGGCTTGCTGCTCTGGTTACAAGACAGCTTTACACCAAGGGCTTGCTGCTCTGGTTACAAGACAGCTTTACACCAAGGGCTTGCTGCTCTGGTTACAAGACAGCTTTACACCAAGGGCTTGCTGATCTTAGGCTTGAGTTTTCAGAATCCTTTCAGTTGTGAGAGTTGTAACTATGTTGGGTGTAAACATTTAAAAAAAAAAAAATGTTCCAGGTAAAGTACTCTAACAGTGTCTTGAGGTGACGCTTGATAACATTTGAACCATTGATGTTGTTAATCATCAGTCCAAACTCACAGGGAATAGTCAGCCATCACATGAGTCGTGTGTCAGAGTCATTGTCTGGAGTCGTTATCTTTAGTCATTGTCTGGAGACATTTTTTCTTAGTCAGTGTCTAATTCTAATGTTATTTTGACTTTGCATCTCTGAGCACAACATAAGACTGTGAATATCTTCAGCCAACTGTAAGAACTAACCACATCATCAGTTTGCACTCAGTATAAATGGCAACAATTTCATTGTGCCTGTAAATGTATGTAGTTTAAAATGAAGTATATTTTTTGCATAATTGGTAAATAAAAGGAATGTTCTTATGTTTGACTGATAATTAGAAATACCACAGCTGCATCCTTTGATGTGGGTCATTAGGTGCTGCATCCTTTGATGTGGGTCATTAGGTGCTGCATCCTTTGATGTGGGTCATTAGGTGCTGCATCCTTTGATGTGGGTCATTAGGTGCTGCATCCTTTGATGTGGGTCATTAGGTGCTGCATCCTTTGATGGGGGTCATTAGGTGCTGCATCCTTTGGTGGGGGTCATTAGGTGCTGCATCCTTTGATTGGGGTAATTAGGTGCTGCATCCTTTGATGGGGGTCATTAGGTGCTGCATCCTTTGATGTGGGTAATTAGGTGCTGCATCCTTTGATGTGGGTCATTAGGTGCTGCATCCTTTGATGTGGGTAATTAGGTGCTGCATCCTTTGATGTGGGTCAGTAGGTGCTGCATCCTTTGATGTGGGTCATTAGGTGCTGCATCCTTTGATATGGGTCATTAGGTGCTGCATCCTTTGATGTGGGTCAGTAAGCTTCCTTGTGAATTAAAGGTTGTGCTACCTAAAAAACTGTAAATTATGAAACATTGTCACCGGGACTCAGTAACAGATTTGCTGTTTCAATGCTTCAACCACCCATTTTTTAAATTATTATTTTTGTTTTTAATTTATTTTGATTGGGGTGGGGGGATTATTTTATATTTGATCTTTGACAGACGTGACAAATTCATAGCAAAACAAATGTCTGGTGTTGGTTGATTAATTCATTCATCTCATTGTCTACCATATGATTACAAACCTTGTGCTGTTTGCAGACATTCACGAATATCTTCTTGTTGGTAAGGAACCAAATAAATGTCTCCTCTGCCTTATGTCATACTTGAAAGTGCCAGATTTGTTTTTGTGTGTAAAATGTGTTGAGATAGAATGATCATGCCCTGTCCAATTGTAGCATCATTGACATTTGTGTTGGTCACTGGTCAAATCTCTTATTTATGCTGCTAACCATTGTTTTATTTGAATACAGTACATCAGAAAAGTGCCCTAAAAAATACTGACATTTTCAAAATCCTCACATGTATGATGTTCAACCTTTGACCAACTGACAACCTTTGACCAACTGACAACCTTTGACCAACTGACAACCTTTGACCAACTGACAACCTTTGACCAACTGACAACCTTTGACCAACTGACAACCTTTGACCAACTGACAACCTTTGATCAACTGACAACCTTTGACCAACTGACAACCTTTGATCAACCGACAACCTTTGACCAACTGACAACCTTTGATCAACTGACAACCTTTGATCAACCGACAACCTTAGACCGTCTGACAACCTTTGACCTTCTGACAACCTTTGACCTTCTGACCCAGTGGTAACGCCCCACTCTTTCAGTTACATTCTACTTTGTTTTCAGAAGTTACAAAACTGTGTGCCACGCCACGGCGGCGCCCTGCAGAGGCTCTGTCTCTTATTTGTTTACCCACATCCTTCTTATCTAGGGTGATACCCCTGCCTCCACCCCACCCATGTGGTCATTCTTGTATGAAACCACCTGCTAAGTCAATCTCCCAGTAAAATGAAGTCATAGACGTCTAGTGAGAAGGCACTGGAACATGTCATCTGTAAATACTGCGCCAAAACATTTTTTAAAAATCTGCACACCTAATTTGTCGAGACCTGGTTTAATAAATCGGTGTATCTTAAGTTGTTGGGTCTCGCTGAACAAATCAGTGTATCTCAAATTACCGAGGCTTGTTTTAACAAATCAGTGTATTTCAAGTTGATGTGACCTGGCTCACCAAATCATTGTAGGCCTAGCTCTAATGGTTTGGACCCGGCTCAATGAGAGCATAAACTTTTAAATTCCAAAATCAACAGGCTACAATCGAAGGACGTGTGTCTTGAAGGACGTGTGTCTCGAAGAACTTGTGTCTCGAAGGACGTATGTCTCGAAGGACGTGTGTCTCGAAGGACGTGTATCTCGAAGGACGTGTATCTCGAAGGACGTGTGTCTCACAATCCGAGCAAAACTGGAACACTTTAACGATGCCTGCATACCGAATATTTTAAAAAATATAGAACTAATAGAACATTTATAGAACTAATAGAACATTTATAGAACTAATAGAACATTTATAGAACTAATAGAACATTTATAGAACTAATAGAACATTTATAGAACTAATAGAACATTTATAGAACTAATAGAACATTTATAGAACTAATAGAACATTTATAGAACTAATAGAACATTTCATTTGACTCTTTAAAAAAAAAGTGGACGGATTTGACATGAGAAAAAAAATGTGTGTATGTTTTGGAAGGGTGGGGGGGGGGTGTCTGTCATTCTGATAAACGCAATAAGAATTGGAACGACAATTAATCAAAAAGTATTTCAGGGGGGAAAAAAACGCTTGTGGTAGTGGTAACTGGACTTACATAAGTTACACTCATCTTCTTCTATATCTTAAGGGCCCACGATCAATTTATTGATCATTTTGGCTCCTATGCATGTAGATGGGATTTGCAATGTTTCTGTTACTGGTGG